TGCCTAAAAAATGTGTATGTATAAATGTGTATCTAACCGACAGACGCTGAAAACATTTTTGAACGCCTCCCTTGGTCTTTGCTCAACATTCTCCAAACCACGTCCTCAAAAACTATATTCTTTCGAGTCCACTCCGTCTAAGCATGCAATGCGATACTTGACAGCATTTTTTGGTTAAAAAAAATCAAGTTTTTCATGCTTTAGACGTGCTTATGACGTGCGGGGCACGTAAGGTGCGAGTTTACATGTTTCAAAGAAAAAAAACTTAGCTTTAACTTCCTACGCAAATTGCGTAACTCACGCGTGATCAGGTATGAGCATATGCTAAGTTTTATTAATCAGTCATTCGTAATATCGGCAAAAACTGAGATCGCAACACATGAGCATGATGAGACAGCGTTGCTCTCACGTGTTAATATTTATGACGATACTATCTATGTAAAAAAACTATGAAATCATTTCCGGTGAGTGCCTCTTACACTTCTTTATCTTCCAACAAATGCTTTTGGTTTAAACGTAATTTAAGTTCAAAGGTTACAGCCATTGATGACGACACGAACCACCAAAGGTTACTACAATAATAGAACTGCCTATAGAAAACTAATTTTCTCAAGATTCCTGTAATTGGGCATCTGTATTTACTTTGCGCACTTTGGCTTCTGTGGATTCCGGTTCACTTATAAATTTTATCAACGATGATGCGAATCATTGAGAAAATGGAGTCTTATGAAAATTGTCTCTCACGGACTAAATGAACCAAGTAATAATGTTGAACACCTAGTGTTAAGCGGAATAGCATGATAGCGCAGTATCTCGCTAATAATTCTTGGAAAAATTTGCATATTTGAACTTGTCGTTTTGCTTTCAGTAGCTGCTCCTCAAATTTTCCTCGAAGTTCTGAGGAATCACGCTTTAGTTCTCTTAAAACTAGCCTTTCGGAGCTTTTCAAAACGATTTCAAAGCCAGAGAAAGTCCACAACTTTTGAAACTTCTACGGTAATTTATTATCGAAACTTGATTTTGAACGATAAACGAACATTTACCGATTCACCGTACCATAATCGAAACCATTACGCTACTAGAATTTGAACGGCGAAGCTCTGGTTTCAAAACTTCTGCAATTACTTCAGCAATTTCTAAAAAGATTTGGTTAAAAATTATATGCAACTGTAGAAAACAGGACGAAAAACTGCGCTGTGTACTGTTTGAAGCACTTGGCTGTCGATA